GTTAGTAGCCTCATTATGAAAAAAGCATTTATCACTCTGGGTTATTACATGGTGGTAAGCAAGTTAGTCTTGATCATTTATGGAGTTTGATTATCATGAGTGCTTCCCACAGATGTGGCCTTGTGCCAAACTAAGCTATGTTTTGCAAATAATTGTACCTACAATTGGAAAGTTCTCTTGAAGAAAACAATGTGTCAAATTTGGAGTTTTATGAACAGCTGATGACTGAGATCAGATTAGGTTGGTTGACATATCAACCCTTTTTATGTTATTTAATGTCAAATAAAAGTCTTATATGACAAAAATCATGATGAATTAGTAGTTAGGCTGACATAGATTGTATTTATACTAGATTCAAAAAGGCTGTCGACTTAGGTTAGATTAGTTAATTTAACTGATGTGTGAACCCTTGACAAAAATCACAATTAATTGATAGATAAATCGACATAGATAACTTACATTAAGTTGGTTAATTTAACCGACATATCAACCCTTGACAAAAATCACAATGAATTAATAAGGTCGACATAGATTGTTTACACTAGATTCAAAAAGGCTGTCAATTTAGGTTGGGTTGGTTAATGTAATGACAAATCAACCTGTTTTTGTATTATTTAATGTCAAATACAAGTTTTATGCAACAAAAATCACAATGAATTAATAGATAGATATACAGAGGTCATGTTTACACTAGAGTCAGAAAGATAGACATATATTCAGTTTGCACTTGGGTCAAATGGTTGACATAGGTCTACTTCATACTCAAGTTTGCAAACATTCACCAAGATGGTGGCTTCTTTTGTGAAGTGGGGTTTTACTCCCTCTGCATTAAATGCATTCAGTAATGGGAAATGAGTGTTTTTCAGCTTTGTATTTACACCGGAAATGCTGAAATAGTATCCAGACAAAATATAAGCTTTTTTTTCATCAGAACAATTATTAGCAAATGACAAAAATCAAACTCTTTCATATGTATGACATTTCTTTTGCTTTTATTGTTTGTGCTGTTAGTGTATTTATCGGTGTATAAAACTCATATTTATCAGATTTAAATGATAGAAAATAAAAATTATACAGATATTACAGTGCTTCCAATCTAGCAGACTGGGTCTAAAAATATTGTTTACCAGGAGACAAAAGGGTTCACCCACAACTATAATGCTAATTTAATTTTCATAACAAATAAATTTTTCAAAAAATATGTATGGAGAAAAAAAAAAAAAAAGAGTACAATTAAATTTTGGTTAATTTGCATATTAGGACCTGCATTCAGTTTTCATGAAAAATTTCCTGAATACTAACATTTAGGTATAAATGTACATGCTTCATTCAAAAATGACTTGATAAATTTGATTAAATCTACCATTTTGGAGTTATCGACAGTAAAAGTTTGGAGTCATTTGCATTGTTGTCAGCAGCCATTGTTTTCATACATTTGCTGCAAAAAACTAAGTGTGGAAAACCACAGTTAACAGCCTTTTTTTTTTTCTTTTTTACTGATCTTACTCGTCTCAACTTGTCACAGTTACTGCACAAGAGAACTATATTCCATGCAGAATAATCAAGACAAGTGAATATTCCACAGCAAATGTATGCAAACAACACTAGTAATGGCTGCAGCGAATGATGTGAATGAATCCAAAATTTTACTGTCAATAATTCCAAAATGGTAGATTTTATCAAATTTATGAAGTCATTTTCGAATGAAGCATGTACATTTACACCCAAATATAAGTATTCGGTGAATTTTTATTGCAAACTGAGTGTGGGTCCTAATCTGCAAATTAACCTAAATTTTTTGTGGAAAAAAATATGTATTTCATAGTAATTACAGAGTACAGGTACTGTACATATTACTGGTGATACATGCCAAATGTGAAGACAGAATGTTATAATTGAATTTTTTATTAATTTTTATTTTAAATTTTAAGTACTTGAGTAGTTATGAGTACAGGAACATCTACCAAAGTCGGAAATTGAGAGCTCTGTATATTGGATAAGTTTCTGGGCTCATTATTCCACCAAATAATACTGTATGACATGTGTCTTATATACCAGCAAATACAATATCTACTAAAATTTGACAGAATTTTTAATCTTTTACACCCAGAGTAAATGTCCTTCCCATTAAGGATTCTGAAAACTAGTCAGCATATTTAATATAGAATCGAAAATGTAACACTGAAAGACAGTTACCAACAAAAAAAATATGAAAAAATGCTAATAAATGAATGTAAAAATATGTATGTAGGTAAAGTGATACTAACAATGCTTGAAAGGCAAAAGGCTTCAGATATTTATTTATTGATTGATTTATTATTTACTTATGACATCTAGTCATGATTTATTTTGCTAAGTGTCTTGTGGATAACCATAGTCTCTGTGACATTCAATGAATTGAGCAGTCTGATAGAGGGAGAAAATTTCAGTAATAAGAGGAAAACGAACACAAGAGGCCACATCGTTGAAACACTGGTTCCCATATGATCACCAAAGTTAAGCAACATTGAGCCTGGTCAGTACCTAGATGGGTGACCATTTAGGAATACCAGGTACTCTAAGCTTGGATGTTCTGGTGGTGTAATGGATAATGACTCTGAATTGTTACACACAAATACCCTTGGAAGTGGTATGAATCCAGCCCTTCTCCCTCTAGCTATGGGTTAATTAGTAAGACTTGTATCACTAAACCATTATTATCTCCCCAAAAAACAAATTCTTACAATCTAAAAATATTTTCTGGCTTTAAATAACTTGCAAATGGTTGATAAGCTGTAGAAAACAAATCAATCAAATACTGATTAACTACACAGGCATGTCTTTTAGATTTATTTACAGTATATGAAATATAAATGTATAGAAACTACTGTGGCTACAAAGTGAGGGATTAATTTAGATATTAATTGTAATATAGAATTAATCCCCTACTTTATATCCATTTTGTAATTTCTTTATCAAATTCTGATTGGGTATGAATCCACCTCTTCTCCCCCAAGTATGGATTAATTAGTAAGACTTGTATAACTAAACCGTTATTATCTCTAAAAAAACAAATTCTTACAATCTAAAAATATTTTCTGGCTTCAAATAAACCTGCAAACGGTTGATAAGCTGTAGAAAATGAATGAATCAATCAATCAATTAAAGCTTTTTTCAAACTAAAAACTCTGAAACATCTTACACAAGGACTCAACTGTAAAAAAGCTGAACATTAAAATAACTACTTAAAGAAGATTCCACAAACTGATAACTTCTAAAAGATTAAAATAGGCACCAACGAGCAAGGATTTCTCTTCATATTAACTGCTGGTGCACTTTGCCATGAATTTTTTAAAAATTTTGGCTCTCTACAAATTCCATCATTATTATTATTATTATTATTAGTAGTAGTAGTAGTAGTAGTATCATCTGTTAATTGTCATGACTACTTACATAAGAATGATCTTCTCCATTGTTATGAATTCACAGTAGTCTTTCTAAACTGACTGCCACCCAAAGGGAGAGATCCCAGTCTATTCCACTTTTTAACCCATAGCTTGGAGGAGAGGAGATGGATTTATGACCATCTCAAAATGTCCATAAGCAAAAGTGAATGTTATGAATTAGAACGAAATTTCCACTTTACGTACTGATAACTGTTGCACTACCTGCACATCCTGATTGCCATACTGTATTGGCCAATAAAATGAACCTCACAGACCAATACTTCTGTAGATCACCGGGTACTGCCACACTTGTGATCTTGTACCAGACTAGGCCGAGTCAGTTAGGAAACACTTCCCTCTTACTTGACCTTATGTTAGTTGCAAATAAATTGATAGAACCAGTAATCAGTGTTTGAGTTCAGACATAGGTGACTTTTCAAGATTAACTTGCGACATAGTTGCACTAATACTCACAACATTTAGTAATTACACACAAACCTCTTATTTTCAAATAATTAATACATTCATGTACTTGCAAAATCGGCAGAACTGTATTAGTGCATATCCAAATATAAATCAATAAGTTTATAGCCTGATGATGAAAAAAGCATTTATTTTATCAATCAAACATTTAATTCATAACAATCTCTTTCTTTGTCAATGCACTTAATTAAAAGTTGAATATATGGGCTCATCAATAAGTCTGCGGCCGAATGAGAAAAAAGCAGTTATTTTGAGCAAAAAATATTTCTTGTTTATTTAATCTTTAATATAATCATTCCTTGTCGAATCACTTAATTCAGAGTTGAATATATAGGCACATCAATAAGTCTGTAGCTCAATGATGAAAAACGCATTTATTTATGTAACAAATATCTGTTAACATTTCTTTGTCAATGCACTTAACTGAACGCTTCTGAATAGAACCCATAGCTCAAGTATTATGGTGTGAAAATTTCATATCAAATTTCAACTTAACCGTGTCAGGCTACGTACTTATTGATCCAATATCTTCTGTATGTTTCTATTTTGATTATTTGTATTGTCGTGTTGATCAGCCAAAATCTAATTTCCCAAAAAAAGGAAAGTCACTCAGACGAAGAAATAGACAAAATATCTCTTGAAAATGATTTGAGTATTTTTACTTACCCTTTTCATGTCACCTTTATTTCGCATGACACTGACAGTTAACTCTAACGAACCTTATAAAAAAAAAATACATAAAAAGCAGGGTTGGGAAGAAAGATGGTTGAGAAGGAAAAGTGTGTTTGCAAATCTCAAATTGACATTGTTAATCGCATTAAGCGTGAAACAGTATATCTGGATTGAAAACTTTTCTTCGCCTCGTTGCTTTCCACGCGCTTCTGATGAGGTAGGTGAGGATGTAAGCAATAAATGACTAAATCAATCGAAAGTAAGAGTTGACAGGACTCCGGCTGTTCAAAGATAAGTAGATAAAGAGACTTAGGTTGCTTTTTATTTTATTGTTGAAATAAAGAAAAAAAAAAAGAAGGTTTTACCGTACGTATTTAGGTAAATTTGTTTCGTTTAAATTTGAATTTTTGAAATTGCAACATGTGTGAGCACAAATTTACACTTAGAAACTGCTATCTTTATCTATCTATCTCTACCCATCTATTCACTGATTCATCTATGTCTGTTCATAGCTATCTATCTTCACATCTTTCTATCTTTCTGTGTTCACATCTTTCTGTCTATCTATCTGTGTTCACATCTTTCTATCTATCTATCTCTGTTCATATCTCTAACTGTCTATCTATCTCTGTTCATATCTCTGTCTATCTATCTCTGTTCATATCTCTAACTGTCTATCTATCTCTGTTCATATCTCTAACTGTCTGTCTATCTATGTTCATATCTCTAACTGTCTGTCTATCTATCTCTGTTCATATCTCTGTCTATCTATCTCTGTTCATATCTCTAACTGTCTGTCTATCTATCTCTGTTCATATCTCTGTCTATCTATCTCTGTTCATATCTCTGTCTATCTATCTCTGTTCATATCTCTGTCTATCTATCTCTGTTCATATCTCTGTCTATCTATCTCTGTTCATATCTCTGTCTATCTATCTCTGTTCATATCTCTGTCTATCTATCTCTGTTCATATCTCTATCTGTTCCTATCTATCTCAACTCAAAATGTCTCCTTTCTTCACATCTACTTCATCCATCAAAATGTACAGCTTTTATAAAATGTAACAAGAAAAGAAAATTATCCCATCAATACGTCAATCACATTTCAGAGCTTTTTTGATTTCTGTCTTTATATATATATTTTTTTTTTTTTTTTTTGCTATGCATGTGCAAAGCAGTGTAGAGAAAGAACCAATATGGCGTACCACTGACAGGTGGGGCCATTGTCATACTGAGCGATGTAACCTTTTCACGGCCTATTGCTATCAATGTAGTGTGACAGATGAACCAAGTGTTGAAAATCGACTTATTAAACCGTTGAAGCATGTTTCCTTACGTATATCAACAGTTTCTCGTCGGGGAAAGCAAACGGAATTGACAGCTGGCTGTCACTTGTTGCTTGAAGCGGAAACTCGTTTGACAGTCGAGATGATCTTTGTTTAACGCGTTCTGTCAGCCGTAATCATTAATTCATTACTTACATCCTATTTACTTTACTTATATTACCGATTGATCGAATTGTTCTTTCTTCTTCACCTTTTGTTTTTATGGGTTTTTTTTTCTTTCCGCTGTGTGTGATCTGATTTCGAGCTGATTTTTTTTTCTTTCTTTTCGTTTCGTTATTTCAGTTTTTAAAAACCTATTCGTCGTCCCCCCCTCTCAACCAATTTTCGATTTTTTCCGTTTCAACTTTCTCTTTATTCTTCTTTTCTTTTCTATTCTTTCATTCTTTTTTTTTCTTTTGCATTTTTATCTTTCTCTTATTTATTTATGTTTTTCTTAGTTTTGCTTTTACTTTTTCGTATATTTTTTTCTTTCTGTTTTCTCTTTCGTTTCGATGGGTTTTTTTTAACGTTTGTTTTCACCGTTAATTTTTTTCTTCTCTCCACCTTTCTCTCTATAATTTCTTTACCTTCCCATTTTGTTTTATTTCCTTCCCTCTTGTTTCTTTTTAATATTTTGTGTCTTTCTTTTTCCTATTTTGGTGTTCTTTTCCACCTCTTTGGAAAGTAATTTCTGTTCTATTTTCTTTCTTTATCACTTTGTCTGTATGTTTACTTCTCTTATTCTAATCTTTTTTTTCTTTTCTTTTGTTGTCAGCATGTCTGTCTTGTAAACTAAACACATTACAGGGCGGTCCGAAAGTCTTGTTACCTCCACATGATATTTTCTATTTCAGATAGATGGTTGACACTAGGTTGGAAGAGAGGTAGTGGGTGACAAGACTTTCGGACCATCCTATATAATGATTATACAACTGGTTCTTCACATCTGATAAGTTTGTTGATTTGGGAATAAAACCGCTTTGAAGTGAATCACTCTTCAAAAAACAAAATGGATATTATTAGTAACGAGCAATCATGGCTCTCCACAACTTCCTATTCTTTGTAGCACATTAAGATTTATCTTTTTTGTTATCCCTCCTAATCCCTGTTGTGCCACCCATTTAAACAAGTTCATTAGGTAGGTTATTCAATGCTTTCCTCTATCCCTCTTGTGTTATGTCCTGTGAATGTCAAATTCTCCAAGCCCCCTTTCCTTAGTGTTTATCGCATGATTGGAGAGTTTCAAAAAGAGTAGCAGCATGTAGAAAACGAATGTAAATGCATTCTCTGAGGAGAGTCTTGTCCAAAAAGAAAAAAAATGTACTTTATGGTGATGAAAGGCTTAAAAATTTAGTTAATGATCATTAAAACCAACCAGATCTTATGGATTATCTTAGGGGCTCTGGCTCTTAATCTTTCATTATAAATTATCCATATATTCTATATTTTAATGAATTTTGAATGTTTCAAATGTACGAACACTATTTAAATGGCATTTTGTAAATGTTTAGAAATAAAGATATTTCCCCAATTTTTTTTTTCAATTTCTCCCAAAGACTAATATTTTTGAATACATGGTAGGTGATGCTCAGCTTTTCTGCATATACATGTTTGTGCGGACATAATCACTAGAGGTGGTGGTATGTGTGTTTCATGTTGTAGTTTTGTTAAATATATATTTTGGAATACAGCTTTAGATTAATGTCACGTAAAAATTCTTTCATGTTGGTTGTTTGATTTTGTTTAACAGCATATTAACCTCTATGGATTATTTAATGCTGAAATCTAAACATTTTAAACACAATCTTATGGATTCAACTAAATATATTTTGAACGGAATTGTATGCCTTCAACTACAGATAAATTGTTAGTCAGTTATGTGCCATGCATAATACACACTTAGGCAATCATGTATCGAAAGATTTACATTAGTTTTCTACATACATGAGGCAGATTTTTTCCTGCAGTAGGTTGCCATTTCTTTCTGCGGTAGACCAGTTGCCATCCAAAGCTATAGAACCCGGTGTGTCCTACTATTTACCCATAGCTGGGAGGAGAAGAAGAGGATTCATACCTTTACCAAGGGTATTAGCATGTAATGGATTCGACTGGAATTCAAACTTGGCTCTCCAATTTCTCAATCTGAGACCCTGTCCATTACTCCACCATGCTTCCTAGATAAAATGTAGTGTTGGCAATTCTACTATAAAATGTATTGCTGTTCATTTTTCTTTAAAATTCTGTTTTTCATTATTTTACTATAAATATGTATCGTTAGTAATTTTTTTATATAAATATGTATTTTATATTTTCATAGTGTTTTGCTTTTGTTTGTGAGTTCACTGGGACCCCAACAGGTACTACCACTCCAGGTCAAGGTGGACCTGGGAACAACAGCAATGAAGAAGTGGTCCCACACTCCTTAAAACCTCCAATTTCCCAATCAGATGCCTTGCTACTGGATGTAGTTTATCATTATAAAATATGTATTCAGATGCCTGTGTAAAGGGAGTATGTATATGTGCAGGACTGTGCAGGTCATGTACAGGTGTCATATTTTGCTTCTGGGCATGTTATGATGACCACATCATTCGAGAATTGATCGAATTAAATCATCGATTCTGATTTCATTCAACTGTCCATTTGGTTATATACATATGCTGGCAAAAGAAAGAGATCTGTTTTTAAATTGTTGCTTAGTTTCTGATTGGTTCACAAGTCATGAACTCAATTCCTGGTTGGGAATAAATCTTGTCTGATTAACTCATTAGTCTATGATTGCATCCTTGTTAGGGCCATTTTTAATAAGTTTGTCAAACTGTGATATCATATCCTTGTTGAAACTGTTTCTGACTGGTTTATCATTTCATAGCCTACCAATTCCAAATATTTTTAGAGATGGTGAATTTCTGTTGTGTTTATTATATTCACTTAATTACAAATACTTTTTGGAAAAGTATGAATCCATCTGTTCATCCCCTGCAATGAGTTAATTAGTAAAACTTGTATCACTGAATCATTATTATATCCCCACCGCCAAAAAAAAATTCTTACACTCTAAAAATATTCCCTGGCTTTTAATAACATGCAAAGGGTTGATAAGCTCTGAAAAATGAATGAATCAGCCAAAATTAAACTCTATGGCCTTTCATATGTACATAAGATAATCTGTGAATTGATTAGACCTTGCCGCCAATCTAGTTCTGTGCTTAAATTCATAAAGTCAAGGTACCAAAGAGCTCCTCTGAACAATAACCATGGAAGTATTTATAGAAAAGCTCAGGAAACTACCTTATGGCTGGGGGAAGGTGACTGAAGCTGAGACACCAGATCAGGACCAATAATATTGCTGATTCTTCTTTGGATTTTATCAAGAATATCTAAATAAATAGCAGGAGCACCTGATGATTTCTGGGAGCAGTATTAAAGGCATGGGCAAATGGTAGGCTTATAAATATGTAAGATAGATTCAGGACAGAAAGATTGTCTAGCACGACTCAGTGAACCAGTTTTCTTAGCAGCAGACCTAGCAATAGATTCAATATAATCTTTCCATTTCATGTCAGCCGAGAATGTTAGCCTGAGAAGGCTCAACGAGTTACTCTCCTTGAGGTTAGCATCAGCCATGCTAATGGAAGGCAGAGAGGGGTCTCTTAATTTCATAAATTAATGATTAAAAAATTTTTATTTTATAAGAAATACTTATTTTTTAACATCATCACCTCCTATGTCAATGCACAATGACAGATATTAATAACATGGACTAAGCATCCTACAGTGAAATTTCAGATCAAAATCCAGAGAAAAACTGTGTCAGGCCATGGATGTAATTGATCCACTGTCAGATATCTGAGTTATCGTGTAATGTATGATTGTATATTAATCAAAGATAATGATATCATGGTGTAAAGTGGAGAGAACATGCCTCAAAAATCATCATTCAAATTATCTAACTTACTAGGGCTTGAACACAGATCATTGGCATCAGTAAGAAAGAAACCATCTCTCCATCCACCATGTTAAAGCTCATTCTTTTTCAGTTCCTTTCTTTGTTTTTTGTGTGATGTACTTTTCAACCACACACACACACACACACACACACACACACACACATTGAAGGATCAGTTTCCAGTTGAAATACATTTTTAACAGAATTCAACGTCTACATTTTTTTCGGGGTTCACTGATTAGCAAGCATTCAGCTTGATGGTAAGCCATTGGTAATTATTGTTCAACTGTGCCCTGCAGATATATATTTTCTCGTTCTTCCGCCATCTTAGTGATTTTAGCTTAATTTCTTTCAATTACATTTTGCTATAATGACCTTAATACCTATTAAGAGGACTGCAGTGACTAGGAGCTTACTACTACGAAAGTAGATGGGGTATGTTAGGTTGTCTTTTGGCACTGACATGTTTTGGGTCAAATGGAGTGTTTTTTGGATTTTTTTTTAATTATCATTATTTTTATTATTTATTTATTTTCTTTTAGTTTCATTTTCAATTTTGTCTTTGGTGTTTTATCATATTCTTCAGTGAATTTGATTCATTTCGTTAAGTGAAACTAAAAAAGTAAATTGCAGAAAAGGGAAGAATGGTGATGGGAATAAGAAATGAACACAGCAGATAGGAATATGCTTAGTGGAAGGAAAAAGGAAGAAGAAGGTAAAGAAGAGAGAGAGGTTCTAATGAGAAAGAAAAAGAGAAGTGATCAGAAGAAAAAGAAAAAAAAATCAAGAAATAGAGATAGGAGGTGAAAAAGAAGAAGAAAAAGTGTAAAAGGAGAATGAGAGAAAAATTCAAAAGACAAGAAATTAAAAGAAGAAAAAAGAAAGATTGTAAAAAAAAAATGAACAAAGAATAGAAAAAGATAAAAAAGAGATGAAAAGCAGAAAGGAGGAAATTAAAAAGAGAGAATTTGAAGGAAAGACTGAAAAATGCAGAAAAAAATAAAATGAAAAAAGGAAATAGAGAAAGAATAAGGAAAAGAAGGAAAAATAAAATGAAAAAGGAAAATAGAGGAAGAATAAGGAAAAGAAGGAAAAATAAAATGAAAAAGGAAAATAGAAGAAGAATAAGGAAAAGAAGAAAAAGAATAAAATGAAAAAGGAAAATAGAGGAAGAATAAGGAAAAGAAGAAAAAGAATAAAATACAAAAGTAAGGGGTGTTTGAAAATGGAGAGAAAAGAAAAGAAAAGAAAGGATGAAAAAGATGGAAATAAAAAAGAGTTGAGAGAATGAAAACAAAAAGAAACAAATTGAGAAGGAAATACACGAGGACTAAGAAAAAATAAAGAAAAAGAAACAAAGAAAAGAAAAAATAAAATGTAAGAAGGGAGGGAATAAAAAAGAAAGAAGATAATGAAAAAAAGAAAAAAGTAGAGAATGAAAAATATAAAAAAAAAAAACAGGATAAAAAATGGATAAATAAGAGGAAGAAAAAAAAAAAACAAAGAAAAGAAAGAGAGGGAGAAAATAGAAGAAAAACAAAAACCAAAAAATATTTGTACACCCATTTCAAGTGTCTTAACTTCTTGTTTGCTTTATTTTGACAATCCATAAACTACTTTTATCTCTCTCACCTCTTTCTCTGTATTGCTGCTTCCTTTTCCTTTATTTTTCTCTCTCTATCTCTTTCTCTCTTTTATTTAGTCTACCTTCTCTTTTCTTACTTCTGCTCTTTTCTCTTTTACATGTCTTATCCTTATTCTTTCTTTTTCCTTGTCTCCTTCTCTCATCCTTTTGTTTTATCTCTCTCCTCTCTTATTTCATTTGTTTTTCTTCTTCCTTTTTTCTCGATCTCATTTTATAACTGCTGTTTTTCATTCTTTATATGTATTCATAGGCTCTCTTTTTAAAATATATCTTGATTTCTTTTCATTCCCCCTCTCTCTTCCAATTTCATTTCCTCATACTCTCTCTTTCTCATTTTCATTCCTCCCTCTCTTTCTCATTTTCAAACTCTCTTTTTGTTTATTGTATTTTCTTCATTATTTATTTTCTCTTTGTTCACTTCTATTTTGCTGCGGTTTCTCTTTCTCTATCTTCTTCTTTCACATTTGCTTGCTTTCTATCTTTTATGCTCATTTCACTTCACTTTTTTTCTTTTTCTCTATCTTCTTTTTTTGCATTAACTTTCTTTCGCTCTTTTTTCCTCCCCCCCCCACTTTTTTTTTCATTTTTATTTTACTGTATCTTCTTTTTCTCTATCTCACTTGTTTTCCTCTTTCTCCCCCCCCAATGCACCTTCTGATTTTGATTTCACATCTTTTGTCACCTTAGTTTACGATCTCTCATTCACTTTCTTCCTCTTCCAATTTTTTTCCTTCTCTTTGTTTCTCATCTCTCTTTCTTTGTTTCTTTTCCTCTTTCTTGTCCGTCTCACCCCATTTTTACCTTTCCAAGTAAATAACACTCTGCGTTCAACCATTAATCCTGATTATCATCATCTCTAATCTCATCCATTTCTTCGTTCTCCAAGTCACTTTCTTCCCAAAATTAAAACGAAAATGGCCTTTGCTAACATCTCTCAGTCAGTTATGTGCCATGTGTGATACACGCTTAGGTGATCATGTATCGTTCGATACATAACTGATGAAACAGATTTTTTTTCCCGCAGTAGGTGACCATTTCTTTCTGAGGTAGATTAGTTGCCATCCAAGGCTATAGAACTCAGTCTGTCCTGTTATTTACCCACAGCTGGGGAGGTAGAAGAAAAAGAGGATACATACCTTTCCCAAGTGTATTAGGACGTAAGTAAATGTAGTGGATTCAAGTGTAATTTGAACTCAGTTCTCCTCTTTCTCAATCTGAGTCACTATCCATTACTCCACTGTTCATTACATGGAAATAACAGAGGTTCTCTCATTTCTGAAAACTAAAAGAAAAAACAATGAAGTGAGAAGAAAATAAAAATGCTTAACCTGCTTAAAAAGAAAAAATAAATAAATATGGTCCCATTTGTGTAGTTTTTTTTAGCTGTTAAAAAGCAAGAAAAAAATGACAAAAGTGAGTAGAGAATGGGGTTTTCTCACTCTCCATTAGTAAACCCTTCTCTCACTTCCTCCTCCATCTCTTTCCTGTCTCCCTCTTCTTTTATCAACATAACTTTGTTTTCCTCTTCATCCTCTCCCGCTCTCTGTTTTCCTCTTCATCCTCTCCCGCTCTCTGTTTTCCTCTTCATCCTCTCCCGCTCTCTGTTTTCCTCTTCATCCTCTCCCGCTCTCTGTTTTCCTCTTCATCCTCTCCCGCTCTCTGTTTTCTTCCTCTCTCTCTAACTTTACTTATTTATCAGCATATCTTTACATTCTCCTTTCTATTACTCTCTCTTCTCCCCCTTTTCTCCTAACTGTGTCTTTATATCCCTCCTCATCTGTTTCTTTACTTTTTCCTTCCCTATCTCTTTCTCACTCCTTATTTATTTACCACCACAACTTTCTTTTCTGCCTCATCCTCTCCTCTTTCTTTCCTTCCTTTATCTCTACTTACCAACCTTTTTCTCTTCTAACTCCACCTCCTTTTATTCTATCTTGCCATTTCTGTTTCCTTTTTTTCCTCCTTCCCTATTTATTCATCAGAATAATTTATCTTCTGCCTCATACTTTATTTCTTTTGTTCTTTCTTCTTATTACTAAACATGTCTCTGTCTTCATCCCCTTTCTCATTCCTCTACCTCATTTCTCCTTATTTCTTACTGTATCTTTAGCTTCCTCCTTATCTTTTTCTTTATCCTATCTTTCTTTCTTATTTATTAACAACTTTACTTTCTTCTTCTACCACCTCTCTTTTCTCTGACTTTGTCCTGATTTCTTAATATAATTTTTTCTTTATCTTCTTTCCTTCTCTTAATCTAGTAGTATGTCCTTTTCCACTTTTTCTCTTCGTTAGCCCCTCTCTCTTTCTCTTTGCTATTTCTTCACTCTCACTGATTCACTCATATTTACTCTGAATCACATCTACAGTAGATTTCTTTCTGTTATTTTATCAATTAGTAAATGTTACTGATTAATAAATGCCTCATGTTTTGGTGGTAAATCGAAGGAGGTTGATCACATAACCAGTTTCCTTGCCATAAAAGGGTGTCTTGGCAAATGAATGGTATTTGGTAGCAGGCACAGGCACCATTTGGTGGTTGGGATAGTGGTAGGGAAATACTATTTGACCTTGGTAAAGAATTCAACTGATTAATTACCATTCAATCTTTACATTGGTGCAGGTCTCTTGGATTTTTTTTTTTTTTTTTTGTGGTGGAGTATCATTTTTTTTATGGAGGGGGGGGGATATGTTGGTCTCTATTTTCACAACATTTTTCAGTTTTATTTCCATTTTTTTGTTTTATTACATTTTTTACTTTCTTTTCTATTTTTTCATTCTTCTTTTCTTCCTTTTTCTATCAACTTCTCCCTTTTTCTTTGGTTTCTAGGCTCATTTTTTTCATTTCGTTCTTTCTTTATTTCTTTCTAATCATTTTATGTTTTTCTTTCCTTTTTTTTTTTCATTACTCGTGCTTTGATTCTTGGTCTTTCTTTGTTTCTTTTATTCTCCTGAATTCCATTGTTTCGTTCTAATTTTTTCTTCCCTTCTAGACTCATCTTCTCTTTTTTTTTTCATATGTCTTCTTTACTTTTAGTCTTTTTATCTCCATTAAATCCTTTTTTATATTCAATCCCATAATTTTTGACTTTTATGTTTCTCCTTTTCTATTTCAATTTATTCTGCAATCATTTTTGTTATTTTCTTTCTCCTCACTTGCTTTTTCTTATTTTATTTTAGTTCTTTTTCTTCATACGTTCCTTTCTTATTTTTTTTTGTTTTTTGTTTATTAGTTTTTGCCCTTCCTTTCCACTCATTCTCTTGTTTTTCTTTTCCTCTCATTCTCTTGTTTTTCTTTTCCTCTCATTCTCTTGTTTTTCTTTTCCTCTCATTCTCTTTTTTTTCTTTTTCCTCTCATTTCTTTGTTTTTCTTTTCCTCTCATTTCCTTTTTTTTTTTCTTTCCTCTTTTTCATTTCTTGTTTTTCTTTTCCTCATTCTCTTGTTTTTCTTTTCCTCTCATTCCCTTTTTTTTTCTTGTTTTTCTTTTTTCATTCTCTTTGTTTTTTTTTTTCTTTTCCTCTCATTCTTTTTTCTTTTCCTCTCATTCTTTGTTTTTCTTTTTCCTCTCATTCCTTGTTTTTCTTTTCCTCTCATTCCCTTTTTTTTTTTCCTTTTCTCTTCTCATTCCTCTTGTTTTTTCTTTTCCTCTCATTCTCTTGTTTTTCTTTTCCTCTCATTCCCTTGTTTTTCTTTTTTTCTCTTTTTCCCTTTGTTTTTTCTTTCCTCTCATTCCTTTTTTTTTTTCCTCTCATTCCCTTGTTTTTCTTTTCCTCTCATTCCTGTTTTTGTTTTTTTTTTTTTTTTCCTCTCATTTCTCTTGTTTTTCTTTTCCTCTCATTCTCTTTGTTTTTTCTTTTTTCCTCTCATTCTCTTTTCTTTTCCTCTCATTCTCTTGTTTTTCTTTTCCTCTCATTCTCTTGTTTTTTTTTTTTCTTTTCCTCATTTCTTTCCCTTTTTTTTTCTTTCTTTTCCCTTGTTTTTCTTTTCCTCTTGTTTCTTGTTTTTTTTTTTTTCTCTCATTCTTTTTGTTTTTCTTTTTTTTCTTTTTTTCTTTTTCTCATTCTTTTTTCTTTTCCTTTTTCTTTTTTTCTTTTCCTCTCTCTCTTGTTTTTTTCCTTTTTTTCTTTTCCCTCTCATTCTCTTGTTTTTTCTTTTCCTCTCATTCTCTTTGTTTTTCTTTTCTCATTCTCTTTTTCTTTCTTGTTTTTTTTTCCTCTCATTCCTTTGTTTTTCTTTTCCTCTCATTCTCTTGTTTTCTTTTCCTCTCATTCCTTGTTTTTTTTCTTTTCTTTCTCTCATTCCTTTGTTTTTTCTTTTCCTCTCATTCCTTGTTTTTTTCTTTTCCTTGTTTTCTTTCCTCTCATTCCCTTGTTTTTCTTTTTTTTTTCATTCTCTCTTTTTTCTTTTTTTTCCCTTTTTCTCTCATTCCTTTGTTTTTTTGTTTTTCCTCTCATTCCTTGTTTTTTCTTTTTCCTCTCATTCCCTTGTTTTTCTTTTCCTCTCATTCTCTTTTTTTTTCTTTGTTTTTCATTCTCATTCTTTTTCTTTTCCTCTCATTCTTTTTTCTTTTCCTCTCATTCCTTGTTTTCTTTTCCTCTCATTCTCTTGTTTTTCTTTTCCTTTTCCTTTTTTTCCTTTCATTCTCATTGTTTTTTTTTTCTTTTCCTCTCATTCTCTTTTTTTTTCTTTTCCTCTCATTCCCTTTGTTTTTTTTTTTTCCTCTCATTTGTTTTTCTTTTTTCATTTTTTTCTTTTCCATTTTGTTTTTTTTTCTCTTTTTTTTTTTTCCTCTCATTCTCTTTTGTTTTTCTTTTCTTTTCCTCTCATTCTTTGTTTTTTTTTCCTCTCATTCCCTTGTTTTTCTTTTCCTCTCATTCTCTGTTTTTTTTTCTTTTTTTTCCTCTCATTCTCTTGTTTTTCTTT